AACAACAACAAACGGAAGAAGAAAGTATACTTTTTGATAAAGAAATATCAGATGCTCTTCTTTACGGAGTTTCCTATTGAAAGGTATGGGGCTTATACGACTCTGCTCTTGAAGGTCCCCTCCTTTCATTCCTTGAAACATTAAGATTTCTAGGCTAAGATCTCGTACACTTTTTGGGAATGGTCAGTCGGCCCATCAATCTTCTATATTTCCTATATATTCTTTCTATATCATCCTTAGAATATGCATACCTGCGATAATTTTGGTTATGGCCTGATGAAAAAAATAGGTATCTTGATAATATTTCATATAGATAATTGATATTATCGGTAATTATAAATCAATCCATTATCGATTATCAACAATAATGATCGATTTTTACTTATAGTCTAATATATTCTTGACATTATTAATTTTATCCTTTATTTTCGATCACCAACCACCGATAATTATCGATTTTTACTATTACTCAAAAATATTTTTTATATTAATAATTTTATCCATAATTATCGATCACTAACGATAATTATCGATTTTTACTTTAAATTGTATGTATTCTTGACCACAACCAGTAATCACCGATAAATATCGATATCTACTTTTATTTTAATATTTTCTTGATTTTATCAAAAATTATCTATATCGAACCACCGATAATTATCAATTTTTCCGTATAATCTAATATACTCTTCATATTGTTCATTTTATCGACAAATATCGATCACTAATCACTGATAATTATCAATCTCTAATCGCTAATAACCTATAATTATCGATATTTTCTTCTAATCTATTATATTCTTAATATTGTCGAAACTTATCGTTCCCCATAATCGCTAAAAATCAATAACATTTTATTCTCATATGTACATTATTGATATTACCGATATTTATCGAACACCAATTAACCATATTTATCTATTATTATGTCTCAGTTCCTACTAAAACATAACCGGACCAACGTTAACCAAGAAAACAACCAATAAACAGAATAGAAAGTACTTCCTTCCCCAGTCCCAAATAAGAAAGCGTCTCCCGAATACCCATCGACCCCTACCACCAACAGAAGGGTATCCGCGACAACAACAAGAGAATGCGCTGTTACTGTTTTCGTAGCGCTGGCGCTGTCATATTCAAATTGCTAATATGATTGGTGTTTACAGATTAGAAAACAAATATTTCACAAATATTACCCACTAATAATTTTGCCATGTAAACATGCAACAGAAGAGTGCAACACAGCCGCAGCAGACAGCCACAGCACACAGAAACCCATGCCCCATAACCATGAGATGATCGCCCCATCATGATCATCATGATGATGCCTGCCCCATGATGAGGCTGTATAAATGCAGCAAGTGTGGCGATAACCTTTTGACTCTGACGGAGGGGGCCGAAGGGGACCGGGACTGGACTGGACTGGGTTTTCGTTTTGCTAGTGCAAAACTGACAAATTGAATGAATAAAAGAGCAACAAGTGGTCTGGTCTTGTGGTCCGAACCGAACGGAACGAAACGGAACGGCTGGTTAAACATTTTGAATGAAAATGCCGCAGCACTGTGTGTCTCTGTGTGTCTTGTGGCATGTTGTACGTAGTACGAGTGTGGCTGAGGCGCAAAAACATAAATCGAAACACTTGCTGCGTATCCTATGCCCCAGCCACAGCCCCAGCCGCAGCTCCAGCTCCAGCTCCTACTCCTATCCCTCAGCTCCTAGCCGCCCACCGATGTACTGCCCGGCTGTGGCTGTAGCTGTGGCTGTGGTGCCTCGGTAGGTGTTGCCTGGTGCCTACGAAAGCCTGGAAATGAAGTCGAAAATTGCAATTCCAAAATGTTTGCCCTCGGCTACGAAAAAAGTAGACTGTAGTGGTGCTTTGGTCAGTCATGTGGCATCTATTGGTTGAACGTTGCATATGTGGACGGACCGAGGGTCCTCTTCCTGCCTTCGCTTTTGGATACCTTGTAAATGCCTTTTTGTGTGTGTCGTTTAATGCGTGGCCGCCTCGTGAGGCGCTTTATTAATTCACTCGACGGTTGTTTCATATTTTTACCCTCCCCTGGGGTACTCTTCACTCGGAGAGCTTGTTGGGGCTTGCTTTGGGGGTATTTGAGCTCTAGAGATGGGCTTCTCCTTTGTTATGTCTGGATTTGCTTGAACTATGGAAATAAAGGGTGCTCTGTTAAAAGGTACCATTAATTTATGGCACCTTTTGCTTACGAAATCGATCTTTTCATAGAAAAACTCTCTTGTAAAATGTTTTACCCACAAAATAATACCAGATACTCCTACAAGTTGTTGGTTTTTCATGTCTTCTTTCAAAGCAGGGCATCTCTTACTCGACTTTTATTGAATTTTTCCTTTGGCTGTGTCTTTGTTGCGGGTGCGGGCCTCTCCACTCGAATGTTTCTCTGTGTTTTTATTGTGTTGTGGCATAAATCGGCCCCCAGGTGTCTCTGGGCGAGTATTTCCCACGGATTAGTGCATAAATAAAGGAGGTCAGGCGAGCGGGGCCGTCGTTCCACCGAAAGAGTTAACTAGATATTTCCACCTACTCCTGCTCCCCCCAGCGCATAGCCTTCAAAAGATGCGTCTCACTAGAACCAAAAAAACAGTTCGTTGGAAATTGCTTTATTAGCCAACAACTTCATTTAGGGACAAGGCCCCAAGGTGGTCCAGGGGATATCCTTTAGCTCATTAACACCCCGTCCCAAAAAAAAAAATGAGGGATATCCCACACGCAGCGGTTCTCACGCTGGCAAAAGCCCCAAAGTTCCAATTTAAGATTAGCAACAGTTAACAAACACACAGACAAAGGATCTCATAATAACATAGCGGTCAAGGCAGGACGAAGACCACACCAAAAGGTTGAGGCTCTGATAAGATGCGGTCTCTCTCCTCTCTCTGAGTGAAGGGTCTGTGCCCCAAAGAAGATCTTTGGTAGATAGCAAGGGGGATATTGCATGCAGGCTTTCGGTGGGTTCCTTCATCGATAATCGCGCTTTAAGCGTGCGTAAGTCACGTCACAGACAAAGAGAGAGAGGGGAGACCTTGCCCTGGGTGCGATCGCGATAAGCGCGACTTTTGCCTCGGTACGTGCTAAACCCTTTTGGGGTTTGGGGGCTTTTCTTGCCATCATTTTAATTATACCCCGGAGAGCCATCCTGTGCCCGGACACGCCCCCAAAAGCCTGGAGGTCAATGCAACGCAAATTGCAGGGCCAGGTCAATGTTTGTTTTGGCCGCAACCATAAATACTTAATTTGGCTCAAACGCACACAAACCGAAAACGCTGTACTTGATGAAGTCATCGAGTCATCAATTGCACGGCCAATTACCCAAAAGAAGATTCTTTACTTCACAGTGAAATTTTGGTTTATATTTTGGGGGAAGAGAAAGAACACAACATCAATTGGAGCCCGTTGAACCGCCATCGTCGGCGTCGGTGCCGCGTCGCGAGTTCGGTGCCGTGGCATCCACCTCGAGATAATCGTGGACTAGCTGGCAGATATTCTCGGAGGCCTCGGCGAAATTCCCCTCCTCGAGGCCCTCGCCCACATAATGGTAGACAAAGGCGCGCCTCTGATACAGCTTATCGAACTTATTGACCAGCCGGCACCAGGCGATCCGTATGTTCGTGTTGTTCGAGACGGCCACGCAGGCGCTGTTTGTGGGCGCCAGATCGCCGCCGGGCACGTATGCCGGCGGCATGTTGCTGACGCCTACCTTGAAGCCGGTGGGTGACCAGTCCACAAACCGAAACGATCGCGTCCTCTTGATGTTCTCCAGCGCCAGGTTGATCTCGTTGGTGGCAATGTCACCGCGATAGAGCAGCACACAGGCCATGTACTTGCCGTGCGAGGGATTGCAGCGCACCATTTGGTTGCTCATCTGAAAGCACTGCCCCGTCAGCTGGGCCGTCGACATGTTCACGAACTGGGCGTGCGAGTGCGGCACAAGGGGGGCATAGTTGATCAGCGGATAGTGGATGCGCGGATACGGCACCAGATTCGTTTGCAGCTCCTGAAAACTCACGCTAGACTGTCCGCCAAAGCGCTGCGAGGCCGTAAAACCCGCCACCACCTGGCCAATGATGCGATTCAGATTGGTGTAGGTCGGGGCGGGAACATTGAGGGTATTCGCACAGATATCATACAGCGCCTCGTTGTCCACAATAAACGACACGTCCGCACAGTCCATGGAGAAGTGTGTGGCCAGCAGGGCATTGTAGGGCTCCACAATCACGGGGGATATCCTTAAGACCAAAAGAAAGTTGTAGAAAAAAGGAAACCCGAACTCTTTCCGCACTTACGAAGGCGAAGGATACACCAGAAACTCCACTATGGTCATCTTCTTGCCGAAATCCTCCACCAGCTTCTCCATGATGCGTGTCCCTAGACCCGAGCCCGAGCCACCGCCAATCGCCCGATAGACCAGGAAACCCCTGAGACCCCGGCAGCGATCGGCCACCCGTCGAATGGCATTCATCGAGCGATCCAACAGCTCGCTGGCCATCAGATTATAGCCCCGGGAAAAGTTGCTGCCGCTGTCATCCTTCCCAGTGATGAGAGTGTCCGGATGGAAGAGATTCTTATAGGCGCCCGTACGGATTTCATCTGCAAAAGGAAAAGCCCATGAAAGAGGTACAAAAAAGTGTACGGAACACTCACCAATAACCGTGGGCTCTGTGTCGATCATCACGACTCTCGGCTGTACACAAGACTGCTGGCTGGTGCACTCGAAGAAGGTGAGAAACGAGTCATCTGGCGGCTGTTGTATCAAACGGCCATTGGCAATGACGCCATGCTCCAGGCAGTAGAGCTCCCAGCAGGCATTGGCTATCTGCACCCCCGCCTGACCAATATGGATTTGGATGATCTCTCCTTTTCCGGCCATAGATCATCTCCGACTGCTGTCAAATTTTGAAGATCCAAATAGTTATATATATTCCGTATTATTTTTTTTAATTTTCTGGCCCTGACATAGAAATCGTTGGAAAAGGAATTACATAACATAGATTTATTGTCCGCGCGCGGATTAATCAGTTTTTTTTTTGTCAAAGCAGATATCGATATAAGATATAATTCTTAGAGTTAGTTAGGTATTTCCGTGCTCGATTAAGTAAGAGAGGACCCATCGTTGGACCATTGGGAATGTGTGTGAAACTGTAGAGAGATCTAGGCTCCCCATAAGAGGGATATATAGTAGTATATAAGGTGTGTGTATAATACAAAGCAGTCGCGGTTTCATGGCTATATAAATAATTTACAAAAACACACGGACAAATAATAATACATCGTTTTCAATAGATGTTTGTTGTTTGTTCGAGGACTAGTAAGGGTTTGTCTGTACTTTTTATACACTTGAAGTCTGCTAGGGCTAGAGAGTGATTTTCAGAACTATAAGACAGGGTAAAGATCAGGAAATTAGTTCTAGGCAGAATTTTAAACAATTATAGCTCTTATTCGCTTAATACTCATAGGTTTCTAATAGGTTTATGTATAGAATTGACAGATCTTTAAGTAGATTTAGTGCTTAAGTTAATACATTGATCTTTTGGGTAGAGTTTAAGGAACTAGAAACGGTTTTTGTACCTGGTACTCAGGGGTATATAGGGGCATACTAGATTTACAGTAGTTTTCGGGTACCTTGGGGAGGCTTTAACAAGCTAGTGACTAGATATCTTTCTTAAATGAGCAAGCCATCCAATAGATAAAGCTGCGTGCTGGTGGATAGATATACAAAGATTATACATAGGTTTGTAAAAGGAGAAGAAAAACAAGCTTCACACTGTTTTTCCTTTAAGAATCGAATGATTTAAGTACAAAATGCCAACGAATACTCATTTGTGGAATATAAATCTCAACATTCTTTGAAAATCAAACACTTTTCCTTCATTCAGCTGCCTTCAAGGGCCATTTCCTCACTTCACTACCACTTTGCTTCTTGCCTATCTTATAATTCTGAAACGCACTATCTAGCTGTCATTTTGGTTAATAATTTGTTCTCCACGAGGCTAATTTTCTCACAAGATCTATCTAAAGAAGAGACTGTTCCAGCAGAATGCGCTCAAAACCAGGCGGTGGGCCATGCGAAAAGTTATCCAAAATGATATCCAGAATGGCACCATTGCCCACTGAAAAACAATGATGAAATGAATAGATCTTTAAGGATATATCATAGCATACCATAGATGACGGGAAAGAGCGCCGATCCTCGCACATTTCGGAAGGGTACCTCCAGGTTTTTGCCATTGAAATAGAAATTCAGTTCCACATGATCAAAGGCCACGCCCACAATGTCACCCTCGTCGGGAAAGTCACGCTGTGGCGTCCCGATCAACGTTTCCCCCATATCTGGCGGTGGGGCCACTCCCGTGGTCATTAGCAGATCCTCCTGTTGCAGATCTTCAATGGAAATGAGACCCGCTGCCGCTGCCGCACTATTATTGAGGATGCCATTGGCACTGGTCTTGGTGATGGATGAGGGCGGCTGCGTCGTGCAGGCAGCCACCACGGGCCGGAATTCCTCTTCGTTGTGCCGTGTGGCATTGTCGGAGCACAGGCACCAGGACTCGCGATCACCGCCACCGCTTTTCCTACTCAAATCCGTCTGGCGGGTGGCCAGGCCAATAGACCAGCTGCCACTCTGCTGGATCTTCACCTCAAAGTAGGACTTGGACTGGACGAGCGGTGCCGTGGCCAGGACGCCGCCAGTGCCCGTGACCCTCAGCTGATGGGAGAGCAGAATGACATCGGGTCCTGTTCGGGAAGTACTTTATATGATTAGAGTTCTTTGTTGTGGTTTATCTTTTATCTATTGATACCCATATGCGCTGCATCCAGGTGAACGTCGGGCTCTCTTAGGCGACTGGCAGCTGTCATCGGTTTCCTCAATTGTCCTCCATTGAGGCAGGTGCGGAGGCAGCAAAACATTCCTACTGTTTGTGGGTGGGTGGGAAAATCTTTCACGCTTATCACCCGATTCGTTTTTTATATAAATTTTTTTTCTCAATATTTATTTATTTTGGCGATTCTTCTTCAGTGTGACCGCGGATTTATCGATAAAAAATACCGTCCGACCCTCAAGTATTCAAGTTCTACTTTACATATTCCTCGTTTTTGATATTCCGTTGAATATTACCAGCTATATAGAACATTTAGCCGTGCCCACATAATTTTATACGATTAATGAATCAATTTTCTACAAGATTGGATAGTTTTTAATCCTTGCTTTTATTGTATTTATTGTAAAAAAAGGTTTAAACAAAATAGTTCAACAAAAAAAACAGTCGCAATGTTGCTGGTATTTGAAGACGTGATGCGTGTATAGCCCTTTGTACACCCTATTTCGCTAATTTTATATGAAGATCAAACGTAATTTATTAAGACCTTTTCTCAAATTGATATGTTTTTGACTTATTCATGTGTATTATTAGTATCTTGTATATATTTATCTCGATCCTGAGCCTTGGAAGACAAACGTATTCACAATTCTATAACATTCATTTCCCCCAGGGTATGTGTGCATGGAATTAGCAACATGTTTGTGTATGGAATGAGACTCATTGTTGCAAAAGCGAAACTGCGGCGAATCGGGTATTGCCTATATTTCAAGCTATATAGATTTCCCCACTTAGCTTTATCATAGATAAATGCATTTTCTACAAGATTGCTTCTTTTAATTATCTTAATGTATTTTATTTTGACTAAAATACGGTTTTCAAGGAAATGTTGCCGCAACTTTTGTGTATAGAATGAGACTCATTGTTGCAAAAGCGAACTGCGGCGAACTGCGGCGAATTCAAATTCGATTCAAAAAAACGACCAATTCCTCATATTCTTTGTTCCGTCGACTATTACCAGCTATATAGAACATTTAGCCATGCCATCATAATTTTATACGATTGATGAATAAATTTGCTACAAGATTGCTACTTTTAATTACCTTTATGTATTTTATTTTGACCAAAAAACGGTTTACAAAATAATGTTGCCGCAACATTGTGTATGGAATGAGACTCATTGTTGTCTTCTTGCTGCTGTTAACCAACAGAGCCCAATCGATAGTTGTTTGGAACATAAATGAACGTTAGAGGGTGCCAGTGATGCGCCGCGATGCTAGGGGTAGCATGGCAGAATGTGAGCCAGATGTCGCCACAGACACATGTAATTTTCATGTAGATGGCACGTAGAGTGGATCGAATAAAATGTTGTAAACCCAAACAAAAATTTAATTTAATTATTAAAGTAGTTCCTTAAATCTCGAAAAATGAACTGAAATTGCACAAAACTGCAACTGATTTTTGGTTTTTAATTGTTTCCCCATAAAAGCCCGAAACAGTATTTAGAGCCATTGATCTTTATTTTACACTCTTTTTTTATGCCTTAAAATCTTTAAAAATAGTGGATAAAACGATCTCTTTTGATAGAACGATGTATAAAATATATATTTATCTGAAAATTGTTTACAATACAATCGGAATAATGGGAGTACATAGAGTTCAATCGTTTCCTTGTATTCCGGAACAAGATATCATAATTTTTAAGTTCCCCAACTACACCTCCGCACACTTGTCATAATTGGCCACCAGATTCCTGTACAGATTCGAGACCCTTGAGCTCTTGTGGCACAGGGTGCCCCCGCCACGTTTCAGTTGCGTCTCCTGCCGATTGATGTCACCCACACAGATCCAATCGCCGCCGCCCACACGCCAATGATACAGCAAAATGCCTGAGGGGCGGGACACGGCCCACTTGGAGTGATCCTGGGTGGTCTTGAAGTCCACGGAGAGCTCCAGATTGGCGACCGATTCCACGTTGAAGACCTTGTCGTTGCTTCCGCAGCGATTGGGCAGATTGCCGGCCCCATCGCGCCATGCCTCCACAAAGAGGCTGACATCCAAGGCAGGAGCCACCACATCCGCATAGAGCTCCACATTGGCGCGTCCGCTCTTGCCGAACAAACGGAACTTCTTGCCGTCCAAGGAACGGAGTTCCAGATCCTTCTGGAAGGGCGCTTCGGTGCGCCATTGGCCGTGCATGGCCCTCTCCAGGCTGGGGAAGAGCAGATCCGATCTCTGGAGCAGCGGATTCCTTTCGTAGTAGAAGTGCGGCTCATTGTAGACCAGCACCTGGCCGACCTTCTCCAGATCCACGGCCTTCACGGTGATGCAGAGCATGCTCTGGGCATAATGCTCCCCCGTTGTGGGGTACGTGTACTCCGGCAGGGTGGGATATTTCGGCACTGAGTGTACGATCCACACGCCCGTCTCCCCATCGCTTCCCACCAGACCCTTGGCGTGGCCGCCGGTGCTGAAGACAGTGCCATTGGGCCACTGATCGTTGTAGGCCGCCAGCAGTGTGTGTGTGGGATCCACATTCAAGGCGTTGATCGTCTGGGCGGGCAGGGAGTCGGCATCGCCTACCCTCTTGCCAGACAGCTGCCAGTTGTCGTAGCTGTTGCTCGTGACATACAGGTACCTCAGGCCACTCACATCTTTGCCCAGATCGTTTTGTTGGTAATGTTTGGGGAGCTTGTACAAGTGCCACCTACGAGGGAGATCTTAGAGATCTTAGAGGGGATCCCGAAGAAAGTTGTGCGTGGAAACACTCACCAATCCACATCGTTGCCCTGCTCATCCTTGCAGGAGACTTTCTTGCTGCCATCTGCCTTGGCCGGCAAGCACTGGCTAGAAATCCCAATGAGGAGTAGTAAAACACACAAAGATCTCATCCTACAACCTCTCTATAGCTCTGTCGGAACACGACTGTCTGTCGGGCAGATAATGAAACCATTCCAAATCAACAGCTGCCCTCAAACAGGGTGTCTCATGCACTCCCTCTCCCTCTCTCTCTCTCTGTCTCTGCTGCAGGTAGCGCACTCTCTCTAAAGGGAAGGTTGAGTTCTCTTCCTGTTTGAATCCATTCCTTTATCTTTGTTTAAGTCTGAACTGGATTAATGCTAATGACCCGTTGTTGGGTGTGTTCCTCGCTTATCGACAGTGTGTGTCATCTGGGGTCATCTGGGAACTGAGCGATAAGAGGCGGGCTGAGACCTATAGAATCGAGTATTGGGACTCCCCTTAATCCTTTGTGGAGTGCATAATGGGAACAAAATTTATGAAAACGTTCCAAGTCGATATTGTTGATCAATTTTAGAAAACCATAAATAATCAAGTCAAAATTATATGAACGATAAATTATTATATAATTCGATAAGAAATATTATGGAAATAATATAATTGATAAAAAACCATTTAAAAAAAATATAATCGTTAAATATTGAAAAAATAATACATATAATCTATGAATAATCATGTACAAATAATCTTTAAACGATAAATAACCATTTTAAAAAAATAGTCGATAAATAAAATTGTAAAAATAATATACTCGATAAAAAATAATGTAAAAATAATAAAATCGATTAGACATATTTTAAAAATATTTTTCAAACATATAATCGATAAATAATCATTTATTCATTATATAATCATCACAACGATAATAAACATCGGTAACTGATTATTTATCGATTACGTAATTTCTGGTCCAAGAAAAACATTTCTGTGGTACTTCGGAGCTCAGTTGAGGGCGATTCCATTGCCTTATAGGGAGGACAACAAGAAATTTATACACCCCATATCCCCCACAATAAGAGGGGATCCAAAGCAAATCGCAAACAAAGCAAATATTTAGCCCAACTTATCGCTAGCGGCAAAAGGTGAAACCCGAAACCTAACCCGAACCCGAACCCGAAACCGAAACCGAACCCGAAACCCAAGCTGATTGATGATGATTCGCCACAACAAATTCCATGCTTGTACAATTACACAAAACAATTGTTAAAGTTTTTATTTATTATTTGTATTATTATTATTATTATAATTTGTCGCCTGCTGCAGCAAACTGCGCTTTGTTTCGTCATGTCCCCAATTGACCCGGATATACATGTGTATAACGTCGTTTGTGCTTCCTCCCTCTGACTCTTCGATCGCTTGAAAATATTATCATTATCAAATTGTATAATTTCTTGTGTGGGAGAAGAGGGTAGGGGGGTGTTCTGTCTGTCTGTCTTTCTGCTGCTGTGACAATTATTTATAATTTGAAATAATCTGCATTTGTAATTTGTAATTTTTGTAATTTAATTTCTCTGTCTCTCTTTTTAACTTTGTTTCTCTGCGGTTCGTGCCAATCGTTTCTTTGCTCATTTATCGGTTTCTTTCACTGCCAATCGAGTGGTTCGGCTTTCATTTTGGTATTTCGTATGCAACAATACATTTAAACTCACAAATACAATATTTTCGCTAAATACTTTTTTTTTTTTTAGTAGTTAATAATTTATTTTTTAATATTCTTTTTGTATGGTTTCTTTTTTTTTGCTTTTTACTGTTTTTCAAATATATATATATATGTGTATATATATATAAAGAACAAGGCTGATATTTATATTTATATATATATACGAGTTTTTTGTTACTGTTTTATGTAAGTTTTTTGTTTTTTTTTAATAATATTTAGCTATTTGTTGGTTTTGCTTCAAAAATCAATTTGTTTTTTGTTTTTTTTTTTACATTATTAGCAAAAGATTTCCTTTGTTTCGAAAGAAAGTAATAATTTGTTTGGTTGTTTTTGTTTTTTGCAGAAAATGCTAAATAAATGAGCCTCAAAATAGACAAATATTTGCCATTTTTTGTTTGTTTTTTTAAATATTAATATTTAATATTACTCCATTACGCCATTACGCATTTATTTCGTATGATTTACTGATAAAAATTGACTCAACTTTCGAGTGATTTATCCTTGATAATAGATTTCATAATTTTCTTGCTTTCTTGTTTTGCTTTTCCATAGATATATATAGGTTGTATATATATATATCATATGTGTGTGTATATATAGTTTTAATCGGGCACGAGTTTGATATGTTTTCGACTTGTGTGTGTGTTGTTGTTGTTGTTTTTTTCTCTGCTTGATATTTTCAATATTCAATATCAGATATCAGTTTTCCCTCTAAACTTAACTCCCTATATTCCCTACATATACTATATATATATATGTCTGCAGATAGTATTACAAATTTACAGCAAATGTCCCCGTTTTCTAGTATTTGAATGACATGACAGTTGCATATACATACATATATCTATATATATAGTATATATGTATTTTGTATAGTATTGGTTTCTTTTCAAAATTTTCACTAATTTAAAATTCGTTTCTTCAAAGGTTTTTAATCTTGTATGTTTCTGAGAATTAAAACAATAAAAGTGATTTTTTTGTTTTTTTTTTGTTTAACGAACAAAATATAAATGTTTTTATTATGCATAATTAATACCGTCAATTGAAAAAGTTTTCTAAGTTAAGGCTACACAAAAGATATATCGTATATTATTAGGGTAGGAATGGGGTTCGGGGGGCGGGGGGGAGTACACATAAATTACTTAGAAATTAGTAATATTATTTTTGTTTTATTTTTTTTTTAGGCAAACATAAGGCAATCAATATTTGGGATAAAATTATAACAAATACAAATACAATAAATATTTAATGTTTTTTCTGCTGTCTTTCTATTATAGCTACTATTATGCCATTTTACTTGGTAAGTAGTTCCATAATCTATTACTAAATTGTTTTTCAATATTATTTTTTGTTTTTTGTTTTTTTTTTTTTGGTAACTGCTTTACTGCCTTTTTATGCTTACAATGTTTTAAAAAAGTGTTTAAAAACCACATCAAAACATATCGCTTTTATTGTAAAAGTTTTCTCCTTCATCTTCCTTCCTTCCATCCTTCCATCATTCCCTCCGTTTATCCATTCGCTTTATCCGTTTGTTTGCTGATATGTATCTGTTGTTGTTTTCCCAAAAATGTTTTTTATATATATCTATATTTATATATATGTATATATACTATATGTGTGGTGTATATATATTCATATAATGTTCCCATAATTCATATTGTTTAGTTTAGGTTTTTTTTTCTTCTCATTCATTTTCCAATGCCATTCTTTAGTTTACGTTCTAAGTGGTTTTTTGTTTTTTTTTTTGTTTTTTTCTGATGATATCTAAACTAGAAATCGGAAATCTATATAGTAGCCATGAAGTTTTTTTTGTTTAGTTTCGAAGAATGTCTGAAAAATCAAGCCTCTGGGGGGGCGGTGGCGGGGGTTCGCGTTGGTTGAAAATTGCACACAAAATTTCCTTACACACACACACACACGCACACGCACACACTAACATACATTTCCATTGCTTTTCTTAAGTCTTAAAAATTAATTTCGAAAATATTTGTTTTTGTTTTTTGTTGTTGTTGTTTAGCTTCTATTAATTGTTTGTTTTTGTTAATTAATGCTTACTGTTTAATTGTAAATATTTGTTGTTTAAATTGTTTGTTTTAAAAGGCGCAATTTTATGATATGCATTAGTATATATAATATAATTAAACATTTTCTCTCCACCCCTCTCTTAAACACTAGAACCTTTAACTAATTTTTTGTTTTTTTTTAACTTCTATCTGTTCTGTGTGTGTGTGTGGGGGTGTGTGTGTGTGTGTTACAGACTTATAGATAGAGACTTTTCCGATGATGTATTCTGTTACCAACGCGAGGCTGAGATGAAGGGGGTGGTGGTGGTGGGGGGGGGCAAGAGGAAAGCAAGAAATGTAATTGGACGGAATATGCGTTTTACATTCGACTAAAAAAATGTTAGAGAGAAAACGTCAAGGAAAACCTAAGAATAAAATGTGTGTGTTTACCAATTATTAATCGATTAATCGATTGTTCATGTTTTTTACATATTTTTCTCTTAACAATTGTCTCCAATATGCCTTTGGTATGTCTAGTCACATTTCTAAAAAAACCCTTAAACTAACAAAAATTCTTAAAAACGAAACCATTAAAAATTAGTATATTTTTTGTTTTTGTTGTTTAACAAATTGTTAAATTATTAAGGACAACTTTGGTAAAATATTTAAAGATTTTAAACCGTGTACAAAAAAAAGAAAAACTGAACGAACTCATTTTTTGACTTTGAATGTTTCTATTTTTTTTAGTTAGTTTAGGTTTAATTTTTATAAATTTTTTTAGTTACAATTTGTTGTTGTTTGATATGTAAATTGATTTTATTTACTCGTCCTTTTCCTGCAAAGCTATAACCCACTCTCTCTCCCACTTCGATCTCTGCGATCTCCCCTGATCTTTCGGCGCCCCCATCTAAATCGTTGGTTGGGTTTTGAAATGTGATTTGATTGTTCTAGCATTTCGAAATGTAGTTTAGGAATAGAGTCTTTAGGAAGGGCGTCCCCCCTTTTGTCCGGGGGAAATTCTCGAAAAAAAAAACGTAAATCATTTTCTTGGGCGGAAAGTTTGTTTTGTTTTAGAGTGTCCTTTCATTTCATTTCTTATGTTTTTTTTCTAGAAAATCTGCTTGTTTTTCGAGTCTTTTATCTTTACTACAGCGCGGCGGCACCTGCAACACCTGCAACATTTCGAGTAAATTTTCAAATTCATTTTGTAACAAATAAATTTTTGTTGTTTTTTGTTGTTTTTGTTTTTTGTTTTGCGAAACCAGCTTTCAGTAATGACATCATCGACTACACTCGTTGTTTGTTGCATCTGAAAAATTGTCCTTTCTTTCTTAATAATTATACAAATTATTACCATACATTGTTGTATTTGTTTGTTTTTTTTTTGTCATATTTTGTTTTTATATTTCTAGAAAGAGAGCTATTTAAAGGGCACATTCGGTTAAGCTATAATTATATATTTTTTTTACTTCTTAAATTGTTTTAATTTTCGTTTATATTTATATTTTTTGTTATTTAGCTGCTGAAAACCAAAAGGAAAAATCAAGCAAGAAAATCATAAAATTTCATGTTTCAATTCCATTTTTTGTTGATGGGGGGGGGGGAGACGGGGTTGGGGGGAGGGGTTTCAATAAAATCAATTCAACAAAAGAGACTCTTCTTGATTCAGCTTTTCATTTGCCTTTGTTTTTTTTGCTATATATAATTAATATTTATTATAAATATATACACACATATATATGGGGTTTATGTATATGTATATATATATATATATGTACTTGTTTATAAGGGGCATATCATCGTCTAAACTTTAGTTTAAGTAGTTCGCTCAGCTTTTTCCGATCTATCGTATATTTTGTATATTTTACTACAAGTTTTTCCCACATTTTCATTATTTATTTGTTTGCTTTTGTTTTTGCTTTTGCTTTGCTTTGTTTTTGGTTCCTCTACAATCTGCTGTTGCTTTTCTTCTGCTTTTCTTCTGTCGAAAAATTTCACTAAACTGGGATTACGGGGGTTTCTCTTTCCTTCTTTCTCTCTGCTTTCTTCCTCCTCCTCGTCTATAAATTAACTTTCTTTTTTGTTTTTTTTTTCTTTCATTTTTTATAGTTTTTTTTATGGTTTTTTTTTTGTTTGCTTTGTTCTAGAACTAAAGTTTTTTCTTGTTTTGTTTGTTGTTGTTGTTGTTGCCTCCTTTTGTTGCGCATGAATCCGTTGCATGCGGGGGAGCTCCTTTCTTGACCTATGAACTTTCAAACTCAAATGTGGATCATCATCCATCAGGCTGCTATGTGACTGACTGCCGGCACCACATACGAGTAGATATGATGATGTTGCTGCTGCTGCTGCTGCGGCGGATGTTGCTGCTGCTGCTGCTGCAGCAGATGTGTGGCATGCGGCGTTCCATAGTGATGGAATCGTCAGGTTGCTGTCGGCGTCATCAAGAACTGTTGCTGCTGATGGTGATGATGATGATGATGCTGATGATGGTGGTTCAGGTGTTGCTGCTGCTGTTGCTGTTGCTGCTGCTGTTGCTGCTGTTGTTGCTGCTGCTGGTGGTGGTGGTGCTGCGCTGCCTGCTGATGGTAATGCTGCGCTGCCGCTGCTGCTGCATGATGATGCTGCTGCTGCTGCTGTTGCTGTTGTTGCTGCTGTTGTGTCTGTTGCTGCTGCTGTTGTTGTTGCATTTCCCTCTCTAGTTTTTTAGCGAGCAAATCATGCCGTGATTCCATACCCGCTCCTCTGTAAATAATTGAGGAAACATATAGCTTTAGTAAATGTCTCATAGATGGTTTGTTGGGGCTTTGTTTTTTATTGGGTTGGATGCAGAGCATGCTCTCAAATTGTGGTGTGCTTTGGGTGAGTTTTCAACATGCTTTAGGATTTGGCTTGGGGCCTTTTCTAAATACTTCATAAACTACAAAAGAAAAAGGTTAAATTTCCATGCCACCAGCTGCTCTAAGAAGCTTCTTCCCTCTACCCGACAATCAAATACCGAGTGAGCGAGCAAAAAAAACGAAATTTCTGGTTTTGACACTATAAAAATGGCAAAATCTCTACCCTTTAACCCAGGAGTTACCTTTCAATATATCAGAAAATAAAAACAAAACCATATTAACATGAACTTTCGTTTTTAGAACATTATTAATCATCAATATCAAGTTGCTCCTAGTTGAGTTTCGAGTTCAGCCAGTCGCACGACGGTGTCTTGTGGTTGTTTGCATGAGCCAACAGGACATCCCGGTAATGAACTTCCGCAACGCAAGAAGCCTTCAAAGAGTCCAGATACTTTTCTTCGACATCCATTTCCCGTTTCGTTGGGAAGCAGTTCTGGTTCGGGGCTATATAGTATGGAATCTTGCGGTTGGCGGTCAAGCATTCAACAGGGAAGTCCTCCGACTTGCTCGGGCGATAGCTGGGACTACGGAACAGGCAGCCCACTACTAGGAAAAAGATCATCACTGCGATGAACTTGTTCAATATAGTCAATAGCGATTGGTAATTGGGTTCTTTTCGTTGCCCTTCATCACAGGCCTTGATCTTGGTGCAAGTCTTGAAGGCCTTGCCGGCTTTGGGGTCCCGGTTCTTGGCCATTTTAGGGGTCATCTTAGTCTCTGGCTTGGTGGAAGTCTCTGGCTTGGTGTAAGTCTCGGGCACATCCAGAATGGCGTAGTAGTTGCCGCGACGCACTGCTTCCACCTGATTCTTTTTAGCCATTTTTATTTTGCAAAAAAAAATTTAATTTTATCGAAACTTTTTTTACTAGCACAAAATTACGGAGCTGTTTTGCTGGTGTATTTGAATCTATCAATTCAGATCTAAACAAAGATGTCGACTGATTTTACTAGAGTAACTTTTTGTTCAGAAAAACAGTATTCCAAGATTTGTATAAATGTGACTTATAAAACCTACTGAGTTTGCCTACAAATATTGTGAATGGCAAAATTGAATGACAGTGAATCAAAAGCAGCTTTGATTCCGAACAAGCTGAATTTTCCTACCAAAGTGTGAATGGAATAAAATACCGACTGTAATTAGGTTTAAAATCCTAAGCGAATAATGTGAAGGCCTAAAATCATTTGAAGTCGTAAGCGCATAATGTGAATGGCAAAATGTAGTCAGGATAAATTAGTTTCGGTAGAAAAATTATAGAAAAGCAGCTTTAAGTCTGAACCAACTGAATTTACCCACAGAGTACTGTGGAAATAATGCGAATGGCATCAAATACCGACTGTAATGGGCTTAAAATCTGAAGCGAATAATGTGAATGGCAAAATTGAAAGCCTGTAAATTAGAGTCGTTAGAAATCCTACAGTAAAAGCATCTCTAATACCGAGTCGACTGGATTTACCTACGAAATCGTGTGCAAAAAGTGTGAATGGCAAAAAAAAAGCACCTGCGCATCGGTGAGAAACCTCTAGTGTAAAATCTGCTCTAAACCTGGAAATGGTGTAATATTTTTCAAGACTTTTTAGTGGCAGTGGAGTGTATGGCATTCGGCGGAGTGGCAGCGAACTGGTGTGGCAATATGGGTGTGGCATGTGTTTAATTTTTTGCATTTTTTATAAACTTTGCTCCCCACGACTGCTGCTGCTGCTGTTTGCTGGTGCTGTTTTTTCTTGCAGCAAATTGAAAAACTAAATTTATGTGGTCTTTTAGCATTTTGAAAGACGTGAACACACACACACATGTGGCGGGAGTGGGAGTGGGAGTGGGAGAGGGAGAGGCAGAGCAAGAGGTGCTCAAGTCTCAACGGAAGCTAACATTTATAGAGCGGATGTCTGGGGAGAAGTCAGTGGCAGTGGCAGTAAAAGCTTCTAACCCGGTCTACCCCGGTCTACCCCGCTCTAACCCACTCTCTGTCTCCCTCTCTCTCTCTCTCTCTCTGTCTTTATGGCCACCTGTCTTGCTGGCGCCCTTCTAACTTTTACTACTATCATAATCAAGTCATAACTTGTTGGGGTTCTACTTTCTACTGCATTTTGTGTGTGTTATAATTTGTATTTAAATGTGGCTCCAATTGTTGTGGCCACTCCCACTCCCTTGGGCGGGGGCATGGACGTGGCATGGGGGGGTCTTCTTACTTGTTTCTGCTGTTGAATGCTGCTGCTGCTGTTGTTGTTGCTGTGGTTCGAGTGGTTGTAGGTGGTACGAGTAGCATGCAAAAGTAAACGAGCACCAAAGCTTAACAATAACAATTTGCAAAATTTTATAAATATTTAATGGGGGCTGTACGGCTTTATGCCAGGTTAGTAAAAAGGGTCTCATGCTTTAGAGGATTGGTTTGTGGACCCTTTTTTTGTCGGTAGATTGAATGGAGGTTTTTGCATCTAATATTTATGGGTCAAAGGGTGAACAAAGTGTTTGTGTGTGTGAAAAGGAGTGCAAGGTTGGGAGCTATACGCCAAAGATTATAGAACATTTAGATGATGTATTTACACGATTCGGAATTACGAGTAGATCTAAGGTTGAGAATGAGAGTGTAAGCTGTGCACTCAGGCATTCGAAAAGCGGAAGTGGTTTCTACGGTTATAGGGCTTTATTTAATGAAAAGATTGAGAGAGAATGAGAAAATATTACTGAGAAATGACAGGATTTTGATGTGAAATAGTTTAACCAAGAATATTAAGAAAGAAAGCAGGCATCCATTTTTTTCTGAGCGCTAAGATGCTTTTTTTAACAAAAATATTGAGACAGAATGAGGAAATATTACTGAAAAGATATATGATTTTGATGTGAGATCAAAAAGTGTGAAGACGCCATAGAAAATTGGAGGTTTAGTGCATTCTAATAGCAGCAAAATTTGTTTTTCTGAGTGCTAAGATGATTTTTTTAAGGAAAATATTGAGAGAATGTGGAAATATTACTGGATTTTTATGTGAGATTAAAAAGTCTGAGAACGCCATAGTTTAAAGAAGAATATTAGAGGGTAAATGCTTTCTAATAGCAGGCATCTTTTTTTCTGACTGCTCAGATACTTTATTTAACGAAAATATTGAGAGAGGATGCGGAAATATTACTAAAAAGGACCACGATTTTTATTTGGAGTGACATAAACAGGCGGAAAAGTGCGAAGACAGCACAATTTAATGAAGATAAGGAGAGATTAAGTGAATTCGAATATTAAAGGTGGACTCTACGTATGGAATCCGCTATAAAAAGAATTTTTTGGAGAGATCAAATGCCTTATCTAAGGAAGGAAATGAGACAATAAGCTAGATATGTGTGCAAACATGCAATCTTTTAGTAGAAAAAGGACTCTACCAATATCTAACGAACTAAATGAGAGCAGAAGTGGGCTCTACGGTTGGTATTAGCCATAGAAAACTCTTCTTTAAGCCTTCAAATACATCCCATCTATATGTTCTATATAAATCTTTTTCTAAAACTTTGTTGAAATTAAAAGTCACAGTTAAATGAGGGTTTAAGTAAAGCTACAATACATAAATTGTTGGTTTGATAGTTTAGGAATAGATCAAGCAGCTAGGAATCTAGGGGATAGACAGCATATATGTGGATCATCTAGGGGTTAGATTAACACACACATACACACATAGATCTTGTTTGGTTTTTTGTTTTATTTCGATCAGTTGTTTCACTTCAGAATTAATACATACGTCTCTAAAGAGATGATTTTGGTGGTGCTGATTTGAAGGATGATGAAGTTGGTTGTGGTGCTGTATGGAGTTAACAACAACGCTAGTGGTGTTGGTGGTGCTATCATTGGTGCCGTTGTTGGTGCAATCTGTTGCCATTGATACGTGCTGTTGTTGTTGTTGTTGTTGGAGTAGCTGCTGTTGTTGTTGCTGTTGCTGTTGTTGCAGATGCTGTTGCTGTTGCTGTTGCAAGTGCTGCTGTAGCTGTAGCTGTTCATTACCATTCAGTATATATAGCGGTGGTGGTGGTGGCGGCTGTGCTTGATGTTGTGCTTTACCAACAATTGTTGTTATATCGTTGGACATTTTGTTCTTGGCATATTCGATCCGTATGGATCCACGATCGGAGCTTAGTAGATACTTGCCCTGCAGCTGTTGCATGGCCTGGGCGGCACTAGGTGCATCCTTGAATTCAATAAACGCCACTGGATGTTGCTGTTGTTGTAACTGTTGTTGAGCGTTGGTGCTGCTGTTGTTGTTGTTGTTGTTGTTGTTATTGATGGAGCAGCTTGAGCCAGTTGCTGCTGTTGTGCCCATGACTGTTGTTGTTGTTGTTGTTGCATTCGATAGTTTGTTGTTGTTTGGAGAGTAGGAAGTTGAAGTTGTTTTTGTAGAGGTTTTCAAAGTTGAAGACAAAGTCAGAGGCATAGAAGTTGTGATTTGGTGCATACCTTTTGTGTGCATTCGTAGGCGACAAAAGCCAGGCATACTGTGCATGGTTATATTTGATATATTTGGTTTGTTGTTGGGTAGATATATATTGGCAGATATCGGTGGTTATATCAATGTATTATACAATAGAGGTGATCGAGTGGTATTTGGTGGTTGGTGGTTTTGGTGGTGGTAGGTGGTAGGCGAACAAACGAACCAAGGAAGAGAACGCATAAAAGTTAGTTCTGGTTAGTAATTTTTTCTCTCTCACGAAAAAAGTGCCTAAAAAAAAATGGGTGGTTTGTGGGTGTGTTGGGTGGTCGGGTGCTGTGTTTTCTTTCTTTTTTCTTTGCTTTTTAGAGTGTGTTCATTAATATTTACCTAGAGAAGACCTCCTTGAGCTCATGTTCGGAGACAAATTGTCCAAGATTGGCCACAAACAGCGTGGAACAGGGTGCATTTGCCGCTATTTGTGGATTAGCCGGATGTGTGGCATTATTCGTGGATCCGGCGGGACTTGCAAGCGCTGGACTCGATAAAAAATGATGATGTTGGGCAGCAGCAGCAGCGGCGGCGGCGGCCGTGGCTGCCGCAGCAGCATTCTGTGGCGTGGCCGCGGCAGCAGCAGCGGCCATATGTGCCATTGCAGCTGCCCCAGGATGTATAGCAGTAGCAGTGGTCTGATGATGTTGCGGCATGGTCATTTGAGTCTGCAAAAAGAGAGACATAGGATAAATACATAGAAGAGACAAGGGGGGAGGGGAGACTTACTTGATGCATAGGCTGCTCCATTACTTTGTCTGTATTTAGTCAGAGATAGGAGCGCACTGGCACCTGCGGATGCAGGGCCGGATGCACTAATGTTGCATGCTGCAGTGCTGCAGCTCCGGGCAAGTCAGCGGCGGCTGCTGCCGAATACGCTAACGGATGATGCCATAACTCCGGTCCGCCCGGAAAGAACGGCCCACCCAGATCTATGAAAAATGGAGAATAGTAAACTAATTAGTTTGATAATCTCCCAAGCTCCAAATCAATTTAATTTTTTGATTTGATTTTACATAGAAAACACGTTGTTTTTTTTTCTTTTTTTTTAGTTTTTAGTTGACAAAAATCAAAAAAATGGAAATAGAACAAGAACGGGTTTTCAAAAACGTAAAAATGTATAGTTATATTATTTTAAGTTAAAGTTCGTTGTCTCAGTCTTTTATTTGGTTTGGGTTGGCCAGGGATGGAAAGTTTGGCTTTTTAAAGAACTAGTTCCGTAGGGGTGTGAGATTTTCTTTTTCTATTGAAGGATGTAAATTCTTTATAAATATTTTATAGTTTTGGTTATTTTTTGACTACATTTAGGGACAGGTTCGAGAGCTCTAGTTTATTTAGTTTTCATCTAGTTTTTCTTCTATATAAATTTTGATAGTTTTGGGTATTTTCTGGAATTTTTCGACTGCATTTGAGGACTGATTGGAGAGCTATAGTTCATTTAGGGGTATTTCTATTGAAGGATGTAAATTCTATATAAATTTTGATAAATTTAAGGAGATTTCTTGGCAGATTGAACATTTTATAAACATTTTTGAACCATTTGTACTAAGGTATCGGTTTCTCAAGTAGTTTTCTTGAATTGGGAATGAATTTCATAAACTTTCAATGCTGAAAAAGGTTACCTTTCAGCCTTAACATAAACATTTAAATATTTGCCTTAAGTTTTTATTTTCTATGGTAAGAAAATCCCCTTTTTATTCAAGTGATGGAGTAGGTTTCAGGCGATAGTTTCGGAACCAGTTCTACATTAGTTTTCGTCCCAAAACAAAAATGTACTTTAAGTTTTCGGTATATAAAACTAAAATTAGATTTGCTAGGGGTCTTTAATGTTGCCATTTTCAGCCCTAACTTTCGGAACTATTTGCCTTTTTCCATCCCTTTCCCTTGACTGGCACTTTGAGGCTTCCTCTTGTCTACAATTTAGAGCTTTCTTCTTTATTTTTTGTATTGGCGAGTGCTAGTCCTTTTTAGAGTATCTCTGTGGTTGTGTGTGTGTGTGTGTGTTTTGTGGGTATGTTGCGTGTGTCTGAGAGTGTGTGAGAGTTTTGAAACAAAGTGTTACAAGTGATCAAAGTGCAGTACATTATATATGTATATAAAGTATAGTTATTATTTGTTGTTGTTGTAACCTATAGTTGGGATTATATATATATATGTAAGACCCAATAGCGACTTTGATAATATATATATGATAATTATAGCATACATAGATACGGTATTTATATACTTAGTTACTATAAAATAGATTTTGTGTGTGTGTGCACTTTGAAGCATGTATTTTTTTTTTGTTTTGTTTCGTTTTTGTCATTTGTGTTTGTGTGTGTGTGTGTCGATAAGTTAGGATTGTGCTCTGCGTTTATCGTTATCGAGTACGCCTTCGTTTTCGGTTTTTTTGTACCCTTAAACATAATGTACTTTTGTTTTGTTTTTTATTAATATTAACTACATACAGTAAAAAGGAAAAATAAAAGAAACCAAAAAAAAAAAACTAAAGAAATTAGCAGCTGCCGAAATCTCATACTTTTTTATTTTTTTCTTTTCTTTTTTTTTTTTTTTTTTTTTTTTTTTTTACTTACGTCCAGTGAGTGGGTGCATCAATGCAGGATGTGAGGCTGTTGTCGCTGTATTGGGCTGTGGTTTGGGTTTGCTCACTTTCGTGTTACTCTTGGCGAATTCCAAGCGAATTGTTTGGGGCATATCGGGATCGAAGCGTACACCCTGCTGTAAATGATCAGATCAAAATACAGCGGTTTGTATTTTCTATTTTGTATTTTTTTTCTTTGTTTTTGTTATAGTTTTTTTTTTTCAAGAGACTCCTGTTTTTCTTTTCTTTTTGCAACAATTCGCCAAAAATAATTTTGAATGTCGCGTGAAAGTAGCGTTTAATATTCAAAAAGTTGTGAATGAATAATAATTTTCTTAGTAGAGCTTTTTTATTCATTTGCTTGGAGGGTTAGGGCAGGGCAGGCGGGGAGGGGCGGTGGTCATTCAACGTGGTCATATTTAATCTATATATTGATTGTGCCTGCACTGTATGTACTTTGGTGGTTTTTGGGGTGTGGTAGGGGCTTTGGTTTAGGGGGGGTTTCATTAAAAAACGGGCATCTCTTTGGGTAAAGACTTCTAGCAAGGACTATACAAATAGTAAGCTAAGTAAAGCCCATTTATTTGTTTGATAGGCGATTTTTTCAGGGTGGGTTTTAAAGCTTCTTATATTGTGTTTGTTTCTAGGCTAGAGATGGCTCGGTTCCAAAGGAAGTCTGGGTTTTCTCTATGGGAGTGACATTTAAAGCGATTTCCGTGTTGCCATTCGCCTGTAAACGTTGCAGGATATCAATCAGTGGAATCGGTGTAAGAAACAACACAAAGGAAATGTATTCCAACCGAGTAAATAGAGTATTCAAGCCCGTTTCCTATTTGCCAGTCACATGTTAGCATAAAATGACTAAAGTCAATGGAACCATTGGAATAAAAAGCCACTAATGAGAGGCATTCGGGGCAAAAACTTGTATACTGATTTCCCAGTTGCCATTCACATGTAAACGTTGAATGTGAAGAATGAATGGCACTCATAGAATGGAATGAGGCATAAAAGGCGACTCAAACCAAGTAAATAGAGTGTTCTTCACAAAAAAAGGGAATTTCAAGTTACCATTCGCATGTAAACGTTAAATGACAAGAACTAATGGCCAGTTTTCATTCAAGAAGGATAAACGGTGACCGTTAGAAGACATCATATAGTGGAAGACAACCTCTTCAAGAGCTTTCGCCGATCAACGATCATTTTGGGTAGAGTGTGAGCTTTTTTTTCTTAAGGGGCTATCTTCGCGAGAGAGAGAGAGAGAGAGAGAGAGATAGTGTGTGATTGGGAGAGGGGGGGTCATGCACCAGAGGCTTGAGAAGTGGCTTTCATTTCGTTGTCGTTGTTTTTGTTGTTGTTGGTGCTTTTGCGCTTTTGCCTTTTGTTGTTGTTTCTTGCAGAGAGCTTTTGCCATAAATGAGAGTTTGTGTTTTTTGAGTGTGTGAGTGTGATGAGTGTACCCGTTTAAAGGTGTGAGTGTGTGACTTTCAGTGACTGTGTGTTTGTGTTTTTTGGGATAGGGATAGACTGGGAGCAAAGAGTAAGAGAGAGAGAGAGGGGTAGATGCATTACCAAAAACAATAAAAATACACAACTTAATAAAGACAGAAAGAGACAGCGAGAGAGAGTAAGACAGAGAGGGGGAAACACTTAATGCGATTTTTGTGTGAAATGTATTTTATTCATTTTTTGTCATTTTTCAAATGCAAGCATGTGTTTTTTTTGGTGTGTTTGTTGTTGGTTTTTTTTTTGTTGTTGTGGAAGGTGATGATGCAAAATCATTTTTGATTTTGAGATACACATTGCATTTGTTGTTGCTTTTGTTGGGGATAGCAGCGGCTAAGAGGGCCTAAAAACGGTATTTTGTTTTTGTTTTTGTTTTTTTTAGGAAGCCAGGCATTACGATTATACAAGTATTTAAATTTATTTGTTTTTTTTTGTTTGTGTGCTTTACAGTGTATATACTTTTTATTCGCCGAGAAGAGGGAGGGGTTTTTTGTTTTTCGATTCAAAAAATTGCTAAAAATTATTTTGGTGTTCTTTTGAAATAGAAATATCATTAACGAGTGAATGTATTACCTGCAGATCCTGTTTGGCTGCCTCGGCTCCAGCTCTTGTATGGAATGTCACAAAGCCCACGGGCTAGAAACAAAAAAAACAATTATGAGCAAGGACACCCCTTGATTGGTTTCAAAATCCGCACTTACCGATGCAGTTTTGCCATTTTTGCTAGTTACTTTCAATAGAGATCCTTCGTAGCCCTAAATTCAATTTTTTAAGATATGTTTTCTAGGGAAAAAATCAACCAAAACTCACCTCGTAGGCTCTGAATAGTAGATAAAGTTCACGCGGCTTGGCGTCCATGGGCAAACCGCTGACAAAAAGTGTGCGAACCTGGAAAATAGATAAACGGAATACAGGATTGATAAGATGATTGTTTGTTCACGAAGAAAAAAGCTCTAACCAATGATTGCATAATTAAGTTAAAACTGTCACGTGGCTGCTGGAAACGTATCAGCTTGAAATGTGGGATAATGCTGGATGTGTCTTGTTTTTGGGGCACATGACACCAGGAGATACAAAGGAAAGAGTGTCAGAGCGAGAGAAAAACCCTGTCATAGAAAGTAAAGAGATGGGTGGGGGAGGGGTGGTCTGGGGTGGGACACATGTACATACTGATAATGAAACCAAATGGAATAAGCGCCATAAACGCTGAATTCATTATGACAACGCCAGGAGACGTGACTCTGGCAGGTACAGACACACACACACACACACACACACACAGAGGAGCGCTACAGCAGAACACGACTGATTCCATGGGGAGGTGCTGAACGTTACAGCGCGGACATGTGTACAGGCAAAGGCACTAAATGAGTCCCGCATCTACACACACACACACACACACATCTCTGACAGCTTTTTATTTTTAACACCTAGGCGAAAATGTTTGAGCAGGTGGCAAGAGTTACATTTTGAGCTATGTATGTGTGTGTGTGTGGGTGTGGGTGTGGGGGGCGGTTGGGGTGGCTCTGACTCTGGGTTAGTGTTTATTTTTGTGCTTTTATTTGGGTGCCATATACTTTGTGCTGAAAGGTTAAATTTACTTTGTCAGGGTGAATGGGTGGCTGTGTGTGTGTAGAGCGAAGAAGAGTAATCATTAACCTCATAATTTGGGGTTCTTATATCATGTTTGTTGTCTTTTGTTGCCTGGGATAGTAAAGTTACTCCACATTTATACTTTTAATTATATCCCAAGCACATTTTACATTCAATTCCACTCAAACGACAAGATCAATCATGTCACCCACAACGCATTCTAGCTTTCTCACTCCCTCCCCAGGCCGCTCACAGCAGCAGCCAAACGCTTTCGATTTCATTTTAAGCAAGAGAGAAAGATGAAGATTCGATCTCGTCTCGTGCTGTCGAAACGGGAGAGGGAGACGAAGAACCGAAACTGTCAAGAGAGCATTTAATAAGCGAGCCACTAGACCACCCACTAACTCCCCCTCACTCTCTCACATCGGCAGGTGACCACAGCCACACACACTTTCGATCGCCCTTTGCATTAGGTGTGGGAGAGAGGAAGAGCAGAGCGAGCAATTCCAATGATCGAACAATTAGGAAAGGTGCGGAGAGAGCGTGGGAATGAGAAACGAGACCGACCACTTTAGAGGTCAGCTCCGTGTTTCGGTCCACGAAAAACGGGTTAATTCGGTAAATCAAATGGAAAGAAGTGTCGCGTATTTATGCAATGAAGTGCAGTGCTGTGGTTAAGTGATTAAACATTGAAAATGGCCAAAAATTAGTGTTTCAGTGCAAGAAAATCAGCGGAGGCGATCCACGAGGCAAAATGGCGTACAAAAGGCAAGGCGAAAGGCAATTCGTGGCCAGGCGACCGGCGAGGGAAAAAAGCGGCAATATATTCCAAAAGTGAAGTGCAGTGAAGTGAAGTGTTGTATTGAACTTATTAAACATTAAAAATGGCAAGAACACTGTTTTAGTGGAAGAAAAAGGGCGAAGGCGGTCCACAATGGCATACAAAAGGCATGGCGAGGCGAACGGCAGGCGAAAAATGCGGCAAAAGGCGTGGCGAGGCGATCAGCGACGGAAAAAGGCAGAAATATGTGCATAAAGTGAAGTGAAGTGTATTCTTGTGGTAAACTTATTCAAAATGGCAAGAAAAGGCGAAGGCGGTCCACAAAGGAAAAATGGCGTATTTAAAGGCATGGCGTGTCGAGGCGAAGGGCAGGCGACAAAAGGCATGGCAAGGCGAGGCGATCCGCGAGGCAAAAAGGCAGCAATATGTGCAAAAAGTGAAGTGATAAATTGAAAAACATATGATGCAGTTATTCTTTTTTTTATGTTTCAAAATCAACAAAATCACCCCTCAGTTCCAGCAACCCACGATTTGTCTCATTTTTTCCTTTTTTTTCGGTCTTGCAATGTGTGTGCGTGTGTTTAAAAATTCCCACTCCTGATGTCGTGGGAGCGGCGAAGAAGAAAAGCAGCATAAAAGAAAGAGCGAGCGCAAATCGTCAACTCTCTCGCTCAAAGTGTCACCGTAGGAGAGGGGGCGCCTTGCAAATCTCGGCGAGGTTACGCTCTCTCTCTCTTTGAAGTCTTGATCTGAGCAAATATGCAAGCAGCGTGAGAGTGATTCCGAGAGGGTCGCACCTTTAATTAACGTGGAACTGCGTTTGCTGTGGTTTTTTTTTAAACAAAGGAGCAAGAAAAGGAGTATAAATATGAAAAGTGTGTGGGTGCAGTGCGATTGCCAGAAAAGTCTTTCCATTTGTCGTTTCTTTCTTTCGTCATAGGTTTCGGTATCGCCGTGCGTAGCTCGTAAAAAAATGCAGAAAAAGCAGAGGAAAAGTAGCAGAAGGAAGAACCGAATGAAAAGAGCAGAAGAGGCGCAGATTCGTTAGTTCTTAAATCCATATACATACATATATTTCCACCTTAAACTATCAGATTACTTCCATGGCTATAAAGTTAATCGCCCTCTACTGCCATTGAATTTTTTCCTTATTTTCCGTCGGCGCTCCCTCGCTCTCGACAGTCTACGTGTGTGTGCGTGTGTGTGTTTTGCTCAAAATTAAAACGTGTTCTATCAATGCAATCTACCTTTATTTTTCCCCTCTGCTTTTACTCCGTAATCAACTGTGAACCCTGCCCCTGGCTGCCTGTTTTTGTTTTTGTATAAAAATAGCGATACAAGTTGCAACATGTCACGCATATTGACGAAGGTGAAAGGTACAATACGAGCAGAGGGAGTGGGGAGGAAGTATCATGACTCCTGGGGCAACATTTCAAGTGCAGCAGGAAACAGGAAAACGAGCTGCTGCTATTATCGTGCTTTTGTGTTGTCCTTGTCGCTTGTCCCTTGTCCCTGGATCTCGGACATTTTTCACAAATTAATTAGCCAAAGACCGTCCTCTCTCAACCCCCTCCGCCCCCTCCATTTCAAATAAAATTAAGAAAAAGAGCTAGAAGCAAGCATAACAAAAGGAGGGGCTGCAGCATTTGGGGGAAAACCTTTAGCATGGTCAGTTAAATAGCAATTTAAATTAATTTTTATGCAGTAAGCGGCGGCGTCGGCGGTGGCTTCTCTCCTTCTCTCCTCTCTGGCTGGCTAATTGAAGGCAATAATGAGGCGGCTCTGGCAAAAAAAAGGCAGCCAGCCAAACGGTCTAATTAGTGGGCGGGGTTTCGCAGAGAGCTAATGGCAATTGAAATGCAATTTATTAAATGCCTCAAAAGTGTAAATGAACTTGGCGGCAAAGATGTTGAAAGTTTGAGGAAGTTTTCTTTGAAGAAAGGTAGGATTGGAATGAAGCGAAAAAGGTGCCTGAGAATCACTAAATTTTCTGCTACTGGTGAAGAGTGAAGTACCCTCCACTGGACTCTACCCTTTGACCTCTCTCGTAAACCTATACACCCAACAAGCCTATGGAATATCTCATCCTGTGCCTGTCTCTATCTCAATGTTGATTTGACTTGTGTGCGCTTGTGGGCATTGCGGATAGACATTTAGTATTTTGGCAACCATAAATGCACACACACACACAGGAGGAGGAGTAGGAATGGGAGTAGGAGTAGCAATGGGAGTAGGAGTAGGAATAGGAGTAGGAGTAGGAGGAGGGCTAGGGGGCAGAGACTTTAACTTCAACTGCAATTGCAGATCCAACTACAACTCCAACTCCAATTGTGTGATTCTCATTCTGATTCCGGCAAAACTGCACAGAACTGGGGTATGGGTTTACACGTTTACGTTTACATATGCAAGCGACATTACACATATACATGCATACACACACGCGTACACGAGTATTGGTGTGTGGTGTGCAGTTCCCAGACTCGGATTTTGGATTTTGGATTCTCTGATGCGCCGCCGCTGTTGTGGGTGTGGCTGTGACTCTATCTATCTGTTGTTCTTGCGGGTTTTGTCTAACTCTGGTTGCCAAAATCCATTTAAATACAGCAAAATAGTTGTTGCCATTGCCACTGCCACTGCCACTGCCACTACATACCTCTGTCTCTGTCTGTTGGTCAACCTTGCAACTTGGCTCTGATTTTGGCTCTGAGACTGCACTGAAATCCATTTCCCCTTTTATCTGTGTGTGTGTTTGTTTGCTATTTGCGGTTTACTGTTTGTTGCCAAGAAGTTAAAGTTCTCCCCTCTCTCTCTCTCACCCTCTCCCTCTCTTTGTCTGTCTGTTTGTTTGCCGCAATGCACTGTTTCTCCAGTTGATATTCCTTTTGGCCAAAAACTTTGTTTATAATTATGCACGAATCCATTTATTTGTTTTTGGGCTCTGCAAATAAATTGCCCTAACTTTTTGGGTGATTTACTGGAATATTTCAAATCTGTCTGCTAAACGGAATCTTGCACGATAATTCTATCATTCAGTTTTCTGGTCGATGGAACTTTTGCCATTCGCAGAGCTATACTCGTATTTGAATGCTCCAATGGCTATCCGTAAATACTTGTTTTTCGAGTTTTAAGAGGGAAAAATGATCGTATTAAATGTTTAAAAAAACAATAATATTGTGTTAATTGATATCAAATTATAAAAGTGAGCAATTTTCCGTCTTAAAACAAGAAAAACAGGCATTTACGGATAGCCAGTGTGATCAATTGTGATAAATTTTATAATTTTGTATCATTTAAAACCATTCTATTGTTTTCTTTGTTATCTTTTAATACGATCATTTTATCTTCTGCGATATTTTAGTATCGGCTTATTTTGCCATTCACTCTTTTAGCATCGGTTTTTGCAGTGATTGTCAAAGAATGAGACACCACATTCCATCGATGGAACTTTTAATAATTATTATTTTTTTTTCGTTTACTTCTATATTTTTTTTTTATTTTATATTAATTATTTCCG